GTGGTTCTCATCTAAATGGAGCTTAATACTAAAAAGTATGAGCTTTTATATGTTAAAGATCTATTAAAGTTCATAATCCAAATGAATAAATGGAACGGTACATGCCAGAGTGAAGGACACAAATCTTACTTTATGCATCAGTAATTTTGGACTCAATATGGAAGTAGTAGAATTTTGCCAAATACATGAATAATACTTGAAAATTACTTCAACTCATGTATCTAATTAATGGAGCTTAAGCTAACTTTTGATTTTCCAAAAGTGGTGTTGTAACACTTCGAATCTTTGCACTTAAATGTGGTGTCAAACTCTATTATTTTGGGCCTCATGGCCATGTAAATTCTATTAGTATTTCGCTCTAAAATTCATTTTTATTTTTATTTTATTTGATCTTTATTAATTATTTTTTAAATTATTTTTAATTTTTAAATATATTTTTAGGAAAATAAAGATAAAAGGATTAAAAAATCAAAAAGGAAAAAAAATTTCTAGGAATCCGCAAGAAAAAACCCGTGGGCACTGTACGCGATCACATCGCACAGGCCCGCATGTCAGCACTTGTGTGACATTGTGCGTGCAAGTCCACGCACTGTGCGAGCGAACCTGCACACAAGCGCCGACCTACGCACGATATGCGCAGGCCATGCATGCTTGCAGTCGCACGGACAGGCCTCCTGCCATGCAGACATGTCTCCCTGCATGCAAACGTGATAACATGTCCTGTCTACGGTCTTGTCACATTTTGGTACGTCGCCTCATGTCGCGACAACCTTGCCCCCAATCACCCACCACGTATCTTTCTGGATGGCTGCCACGTGGTGCACATCCAAGGCTCCTCCCTTAGCTATTTAAAGAACATTTTTCCCTCATTTTTCCCTCATCTTTCCACCATTTTCCTTTCTTTTATTTTAGAAATTTTAGAGAGAGAAAGAAGAAAAAGAAAGTAAGAATTCTCACAAGGCTCTTTTCTTCTCTACCCCAACAAATAAATCTAGTCACGGACTACGGTAAGAGATTCTTTTAGTATTTTCTCTTAAATTTCTTAGTGCATTTTCTAGAAAGATAAATTTAAATGTCGAATGATTTTGATGCATGAATTTCTATACTGATTGACTATTGTTTATTTCAACATGAAATATGGAATTGTTGAGCATGATAATTTTGATTGATAAATCTTTATGATGAGTGATTATTATTTATTTGAATGTGAATTATTGAAATATTGAGTATGACGCGCGAAAACATGGTGATTGAAAATGCATGTGGGTTTGGCTCTTCGCCTTACCTTAGTAATGGCAAAGAGGGTTATTCTAGTGGGTTTTGGCTCAAGAGGATGATCCAAAGGTTAAGTCCGAATAAATGAATCTTTGGCCGGACATATATTTAGATCCCCATCAAATTTTAAGTATGAGACTGTTATGATTGTAAATTGAATATGAAAGAGAAAAAAAATGAAAATTGGTTTAACTGTTATCTTTGAGTGGTTTTTGTATCTCCCTACTCTAAATATGAAATTTTTATGAATCGCTCCCTGTAAATGATCGACATTCCTTCTAATGAAAGGGAATTCATGATATGATATGTATGGCTACAGTGGCGACGTATGGCTGTGGACATAGATTATAACCAATATAGAAATTGAACCAATCTAATATAGAAATAGAACTAATTAGTTATTCATAGAGGTAGTTGGGGATCCCCTCTGCCTTCAGTGGATATATGTTGGAATAGTTTCGTGTGGAAGTTGGTAAAAAACTTAAATGAAACACAAACATGACTAAGAGAGTTGTTGATACTCTATAGTGATTTGTATGATGGTTCTTCTATTTTATCCTAATTATATTGTGTTCTTAATTGGTTCAACTACTTTCTATTGAATCACTTAGTTATGATTGACTCTATGTTTTCTCTGCCTCTATTATTCGATATGTTGATGGTTTTCTTAATTAAAATAAATATCTTTTCTTAATATCTGAATTGAGCTCATCCCATGACGACTTCCGAGATATGTTATTTAATTGAGAAGTAACGTTTTATTTTAGAAGTTAATCACCTTTAGAATCTTACGGTGTAATTTAAATATTGTTTTCCTTTATTGAGTTATATAGACTCACCCCATCCATGTCCTTTAGATGATAGAGTGATGATTCATTCA